TGGCAGTAGCTCTCGTCGCAGTCGTACCAGGTCTCGTCATCCTCCGCCCAGTACGTCTGGTCGTAGTCGTCTGGCTCGTCCTCCGGCTCGCCAGTATAGAACACTTCGGCATAGTATTCTGCTCAGTCCTCGTCGACGAAATATTGTTTCCGAGCGTGGTTCGGCTCGTGCATGATGCTCTCCTGCCCGAACGTTGTCTCCAACGCCTCAATAACCTTATCCTGTGTGATATTGTTACCAACTACCAACATAATGACCGCCTTCGGGTCCGCGCTGTATCTTCCTCGTCGTAGCGCGAGCCAGCCTCGGACCTTCGCTGGTAGCTCGATGTCGTGCGTCCTGAGCTTCCGCTCGGCTGCTCGCACTCGTGATATGCAGGCGAACAGTGTCTCGCCCTTGTACAGCTTGAGCTTGAAAAAGTACTCCTCAAAGTCGTCCGCGAGCTCCGTCCTGTCGTCCATCTTGAAGCGATTCCGCAATCTGGTCATGAGCTGCTTCGCCGCGTTGGGCTTGATGAGCTCGGCTGCTGAGAGGCCCCCAACTTCGTCCCAAGCTTCGCCCGTGAGACTTGCGCTGCGCATGAGAGCTACTTCGCCCTCCTTCTCCAACGTGAGTTTCGCGATGAAAATCATCTCCCGCTTCTCGTATTCTTTCCATTTGTTGAGCGTGCCATCGGACAGTACAGTGGAACTCCTCGCTCTGGTAGCATGTCCGCCATTGGCTTGGACATCGTGCTGAAGTGAAGCTGCGAGGGGGTGCTGCCCGAAGCGTGCTGCACGAAATCGGAACTGTCCCGTTCTGTTCGATCAACTGTGAGATCGGCTGCGAATTCAAGCGTGGATTCTGACGAAAAACTGACCAGCCGGTCCATGAGATCCGCCGCTCGGCCGAAGCTTATGGAGGTGGCGACGAAATCTGGAGACTTGCCGCCGAGGTATGGAAATTCGAAACGCGATCCTGGCATACCAGGCTCCGCTACTAATCTGACTATCAAAACTCCCAGAGTCTTTGTTGGCAACAATAAGCATGAACAGCCAGAAGCACATCGGATGATCTCTTCACAC